ATAATTTTCACTATTTTTTGATCTTAATATAAAGATACACAAACCTTTTTCGTATTCGAAAAAATATATATAGAAACGGTACATCTCCAGCAAGTAGACACCGGTATCGCACAAGACAACAAATGAAACACACCGAATCAGACTCAGGGGCTGAGCTTATTAAGCCGCGGGCGAACGCCCACACATGGCAAGGCAACTAGTTGGATCGGAGAACGCTAGCTAGAAATTAAACAAACAAGCAAGCAAGCAAGCAAACAGTAGAATTGATATACAAAATCATGGCATTGGCGATCGAACTGAAGCATCTAGAGGGTTTAATTAATTTCCAAACCAGCTAGTGGTGGGCATCGATCAGGGTGTTGGTTCCTCGTCGTCTCCCTCCGGCATTTGAAGCTTGTGGGCCAGGGTCTTGGCCCCCCTGAGCGAGAGGACAAGCCAGACGTAGGAGAGGAACTCACCACCTTCATCCAAGCTCTTAAAGTGCAGGTAGCCCCTGCACATGGTGGCGGAGTAGAAGAGCATGCCCAGCCACACCCCGGTACATCACCCTCCAGCGCGTGGACGCTTCAAGAGCCAGCAGCTCCTTTGCAAGCCTGCATGCCTCGGGGATGTGGAAGAAAGATTTGGCCTCCTCCTCTGCAGCTTTATCACCGGTGGGCACCTGCAAACGTACCCCTGCGCCTTCGTCGATGATCTTGATCAGGTTTTCTGGGTCGGGCGGCTTGCCGCTGTCATCTACCATGCTGCGGTCCAAGATGGACTCGAATTCATCCATGGCTTCACTGACCATGTGCTGCCTGCTGCCGATGAGCAGCATGTCAGGGTGGGAATTCAGCAGCCGAGCCATGTAGCTGGATATTGCTTCCGTGCACTTGATGCGAAGCCAGTGTAGTGAGTCTTCCTGGTTGTTGGCGGGAGGAGAACCTTCCAATTCCATGCGGAAGCAGAGGTCGGTGGCGATGTGTCACACGAGGAACCTCCTGTCGAACGACCCACGCAGGGTGCCCCGTATCTTGGGGCCGCACAGCTTCTGCTGCACCTCACTTAGAGCCCAGTTGGCCGCGCCCGGGCTGCTGATCTGCTGCATTATCTCGACACCTACCTCAACATCCTCCACCGGCAGCTCAGCAGCGCCTGGTTCGTATGGCACCGTGAAGACCCTGTAATTGGCAAGGTCGCGGCCCTGTGCATCCACCAGATCTGCAAGGACCATCACTGACACATTCTTGTACAATGTGTAGTCGTCTTGACCGCCGCCGCCTTTGCACTTGCAGTACTCGAAATACTCCTCCTTGAAGCCCATGCTGGTGGCACACTTGACGAGCCACCCAATGACCTTCTGCCTCCGCTGGAGAACCGCGTCCACGAGGTTGTAACCTGGTACCGCCTCCCACAACGCCGGGACACTTTTTGCAGACATCGCCCAGTGTACTAGCTGACGGACGAGCACTGCAAAAACATCCAGCGCGGCGGTGAGGCACAGGAGGGTGTATGTGATCTTCACGTCGGTGCGGTCGTACCCATCCTTGTCGCTCGTCACAAACAGCGTGAGGGCGGCGATGTGCAGGATCGGCACCACCAGCACATGGTAAACCAGGTATGTGCGTGTGAAATAATCCAAATAAGCGAAATAATTCAAATAATCCAACTCGCGACGCAGCTCCCGCTTCAGTAGCTTTTCCGACTTCGTGCTCAGAGGCCGAAGAACATCCCGGACATTTGGAGCTCTGCCTCGTTGAACAAGGTCATCGGCAGCAGCTGACAGCGACATGTCCAAGAGCACCATATGGACTTTAACTCCTTCCGGCAACAACCCATACTCCTCACCCGCCAGCTCCATCATCGTCGCGGATAGAGACGCCAATCTATTATTAATGCTGGCTTTTTCTTGAGGGCCCATGGCTTCTCACTGCAACTGACGACCCCAATGTTGAAGAGGAGGATCTCTGATGCCAATAGCTTCCAGTCGCGGGGGTTATGCCACGACTTGTACATGGCGTACAGGGCAATCGCGACCTGAGACACTAGGGTCACGGTGTGCCTGATCCACAGGTCGTTTTCTTCGATGGTGAAGGCCGTCGGCGCCTCCTGCCCGCCGAGATGGATGAGCAGGACAGGAGCCCATAGGACCTCTAGGATCCTCGCCTTATTACTCGCCGAGATGGATGAGCAGGACAGGAGCCCCGGCGTGACGGTTGAAGAGGGTGGCCAGCGCATAGATGGCCAGAGCATCGCTGCCAATGTATGCAAGCCATATGCATAGCCTGAAGCAGCGCCAGACGCTGTACTTGCGCATGGGGCAGCCACTTTTTTTTTTCCTCGAACGTGCCTCGGACGAGGATGCGGCTGCCAATTCATTAAGCAGTCTAGCATTTTTTTTGTTACAAAGGACTGGCGGTGCAGGTAGGGGCACAGGTGTAGTGGTGAGTAGAGAGCTTCGCGTCTCCACTGAGTCACCGTTCGCGGGTTCGATACAAGGAACCTCTCCGCATGATTTTAGTTGTGAAGGCTAGCCTCTAGTTTTTTCCTTCCAGGTTCACTACCATTCTGATGGGCTCTACGTTATCAAAGGCACTAAAACTACCCTTTTACAAATGATTGGCCTTTTGGTAATCCTAGAATTACCAAGGTGCAATCCCACCAAAGACAAACGATACAAAGAAGAAAGCACGGAGAGGGGCAGGGAGGGCCTCCACCAAAAAAAAAAGATACACCGTGAGCCTATCAAAGGAAGACAAAAATTTATGACACATTGTTAGCCTAAGGTGTAGTGTAGCCGCGATAGCCAAAGCATCCACCAAGGAAGTCAAGGGCCACGCTTTTCGACAACAATGCAAAAAAGCATCCATACGACGAGAAACGGATCGACCACGGCGACCAAGCATCTGCGGTAAGGAAGGGATTACGGCAAAAAAGCATCCGTAATGAGGGCCATCACATGCTCTGCAGCTTGAATGAGCGTGGAGACCTACGAAGCAACCAACGAGGTGGCCAGCGTCAGCAAGAAGCGACAAAAAATCCGCCAAAGAACCGGACGACAGTGGCAACAACAAACACCGAAGGACAAACCAATGCGAAGAAAGAGTCAGCAGCACGACCTCAGGTTCGACCCACAAATCCAGCTACAGTCAGTACGAGAATTCACACGAACTTCGTCTACGAAAATCGGCAACACAAAGCACTAACCAAACCCATCGAATGCCGAGGCTGCCGAGGACGAGGATGCGCAGCTGCCAATTGTCCCACCATCCCACAACACTCCACACATCTAGCCTCTCTCCTCTCTCGGCCTCTCCCTGTGTGTGTGTGTTGCGGCAAAGCAAGGGCATAGGTCTAGTAGTGCGTAATGGTCGCGGGCTCGCGGTCGCAGTTGCCTCCACTGACGATTAACTTGTTCGAATGTTCGATACATTCAGGGACGAAGCCTGAAAAAAATTCAAGATGAGCTGAACAAAAGAATATAGGCTTTTTTATCTTCTCTTAACCTTAGCCCCTCCTACCTAATACATATATGCATAAAATTTTAAGAGAGGACTTAGGAGGGTTCCACATGCCCAGGATCGGTAGAGGGGGAGGGGGGGGGGCAGCCCCACCGCTGCCTCCGTCGCTGGATACATTAGGAACCCTTTAGCTTTAAAGACCGATCTCATCCGACTTGCTAAGCATTTAGTCCCAGAGAGGATAATGCTTCAAGAAAATGTCAACTTGCTACCTGCAGCATACAAGCATAACTAGCTCTCTCACTTTCGGTAGAAAGAATCTGCTTTCCTAGACAGAAATGAAAAAATCTTTTTCATTCCCCAGCAAGAGGATGCGCGTTATCGCAACGGCTTTCGCGCTAGTTGCTCTAAACGTATGCACTTTAGTTGTGATGTAGTAGCAGGCTAGTAGCATTTCATTTCAGGTTCTAGCTACCATTCTGATTGGGCTCCACGTTATCAAAGGCACAAAGGAAAAGATAAAAGAAAAAGACAAAGTCGACAGGCAGCTAAATGTCAGGTTCGTTTGGGCTTGTTTGACTGATACGTCGTAACTGAAGTATTGTTGGTTGATTTGATGTAAGAGAAAAATACTGTTCATTGACTGAAAAAGTATGACTTACAAGTCAAACAAGGCCAAACGAACAGGGCGCAAATCGCCTGACTTCACCTATACTTGGGCATGCAAGATGTAAGGTTAAACAATCCCAAAATAGCGTGTCTTTTTGGCCCGGCACGAACAACAAGAACTTTCGCCTAGCTAAGCAAAGGGCTCTGAGCCCCTGACATGGCCAAGAGGGAGCAGCCCATGCCTTCCATCCTTAGTAAAAAAAGATAAAACCGTCGTCAGAATCACTAGAAAGGTGATTTGGGGCATGTTTGGTACAGCTTATAAGCTGTTTATGACCAAAATAAATTAAAATCAATAGCTAAACACCACGTTTTTCAGCATCTTACTCTGGTCACGCTTATTTCCACGGCTCTCATTTGTAATAAAAAAACAGAAGCTAAATCAAGCCAGCTTATTTTGACCGTCGCTTTTACTCTATTTGTACATCTTATCTTAAAAGCGTTTTCCAGATAAGCTGTACCAAACAGGACCTTTAAACGGTTTTTGAGAGTTTAAGCAGTAAAATGGCTGATTTTGAAGTTAGAGAACAATCTACGAACCAACCAACGAGACGACCCAGGGTCAGCAAGACAGCGACAGTGAAAAAACCGATGATACACAGACGAAGAGAAGCGAACTGAAGAACATGCAAACATGCAATCTTACAGTTCCAGATCAGTACACCACTAAAGTCCAATCCCAACACAAACAGTTGCAGGCTGTCTGACCTCTCAAGTTCGACCCACAAATCCAGCTACAGTCAGTACGAGAATTCACATGAACTTCGTCTACGAAAATCAGCAACAGCAAAGCAACTAACCATCCAGGGCACATCCATCTACATTCACGAAAACCCAACCCAACCTAGCACGGAGTATGCACAGCGTCGCAGGCATGGGAGGAACGGACCATCATGCGCCCGGGACCATCGTAGCTGGCTTGTCTTCCACCGGGTACGGCTGGTGCTGCTTGCTGTACACGCGGTGGCGCCGCTCCCTGGCGTAGATCACCCAGAAGATGAGCGATAGCATCACCGCCGAAGAGACCATCACCAGGCCCACGTACACCCACTTGCTGTACCGCTCCAGCCCGGGGCAGTAGCCCTGGTTGATGGTCGTGAAGGTGTCGCGCACAAAGGTGCAGTCCTCCAGCTGGATGAGGAAAGGCCCGTACTGGTACAGCCCCTGGCTCACGTTCACGCTCGCCGCCATCTGACTGTAGATGCTGGGGGTGACGCGACCCACCGTGGCACAAATCTCGGCTCCTGAAACGGTTTTGCTCTGGCATTCGTAGTTCTTCCAAACCTGCAATGTTGTATGTCGAGGCACGGATCAGTATTGTTCGGCGCTCACCATCCAAATGTGGTGAACTTGAAATCGCAGCGCGAAATGGAGCAGGATAACTACCGACGACTTACCTGGGTTGCGTTGTCCAAGGTAACCTCCCCTCGGGTGCAGTTGCGGTCCCTCAGATCAGGTGTGAATGGATTGCAGAGCAGAGGCATCAGTGGCCCCGACTGGTTGTAGTAGAAAGGCGTCAACTGTGGAGGGAAGTTCCTATTCGACACGTTGGTGATCACCTGGTTCACCACGTTCACCAGCTCGAAGGTGACCTGCCTGCTTCTGTACAGGGATTCGTTCGCTGTGGCAGGCTCGACACAGGGGATAACCTCGTCCAGGGCAGTGTGTTCTGTCGGATGAGCAACCCACTCTTCCATTGCAACACAAGTATCTGAAACAACACTGTTTTTTGTACAGAGAAGATGAGATACTGATATCGAAAGGGAGACTTGTTTAGTTAATCATAAAGGTTGCCTTTCAGATGGCAGATGTTTCGCCCAAAGTCGAAATCCCGTGGAAATTATATGTAGCGGTTCCAACAGCTCCAGTTTTGTTTTTTTCAGCTTTACTACTGATAGTTACATCTTACATGTTAATTTGCAATTATGAACAAGTTTAGCTAGCAAAAAGCATTAACCTGGAATTGAAAAACAAAATTGTTCCCATGCAATTGATATTTCCAAAAGGACATAGTTTGGCATGTAATACTGAAAGATGAAAGGTGTAGCACATGATTTGGCTTACAAGCGAAATGCGATAAACAAACTAAGCAAAAGTGTAGCTACAATAAATAGCCATAATCTAGCTTACAAACTAAGTCCCTTCATAGACCTAAGCAATCTTGAAGATATGAAAGAGATGTTCAGGAGCATGAAAGATGTAAGGTTAAACAATCCAAATAATAGCGAAGTTGGGTTAAAGGCAACACAACAAACAACAAGAACTAGTCGCCTAGACTAATGCAAAGATGTAGCTCTGAGCCCCTTAACCAAGTCCAAGATGTCATTGGATAGGCAATTGCAATGCAAATTGGTACCAGGATGCAGCCTACAAACATGGACTGATGATCACTTGCTAGATCATCGCTGTGGTAGCATGCTCCAAACAAGATCAGACTTCAATTTGAAAAATGCCTGAACCTAAAATTAAAAGCACCATTTTTTTTATGTTCTAGGCTGTATAATATAAGGTAGCTATCTACAGGCTGATTGTATAAAACAGGGGCAACTTAGCAGGACTTGGGATGCAAGTGTGCTACTCGGTGCAGTATTGTGATGTGTTTATTATATTAGAATACTTACTTGTGCAGAAGAAGAAAGACACCGCACAGGATAAACGTCCCAGTAACCAGTATCCATCCAATAACAACCAAGCTGTAAAAAAATAGGAACAACGAATGATATCTCTGGTTTGTTAAAATAAGATCATAAGCAAAGACAAAACTTACAGAGAGACAAGGAATTCCAGACCAAAGATGGATAACACTGACAAAGTCAAGAGTTACTATGTTAGCATATGTCTTTAGAAACATACAAAACAACGACCATTTTCTGGGCAGTGTGGAAAAAACAAATGGAGTACTTACAGAAGCCAATAAATGCGAGAAGAAGCATCACTGCTGCAATGACAATTAAAGCCAGCCGCCTGAAATAAAATTGGTCAACCACATGCACAATATCCATTGTCCTATCAGTTGCATCATTTAGATGATATCTCAATGATATGGGGCGAAAAACACTTACACTCTGTTTAGCAACTTCTTTATCTTCGCAGCATTATCTGTTGTTTTAATAGCAAGATCGGTAGCTGATGAGTTCAGCTTTCCTTGGATTTCATTTATCTGAGTTTGCACGTTAGGAGGCAGTAAAAAGGATTGTGCTATGTCGATCCTCTTTGCAGCAGACAAACTATCTGATAGGTTCCTAAGGTTGTCAACGGTATAATTTGCCTGGCTGACAACAAACTTCAGAGTAGTTGTTGTGCTCTTGTGGAATTTTGCCTGGCCATCATATAACATAGCACATCCAGCACTAGCATTGAGTGAAACTTGATCAGCATATAGAGCTCAAAGTATATGCAAGGACTCATGAAAATGCCACATTATAGAAGAATGGAACTTACATTGCAGCACAAGTGAACAATATTAGAAGTATCAATGACAGAGCATATGCTGTTCGAGAGTACTTGTAGGTGTGATGCGGGCAACAGCAGTGATGGCAGCAAATCCCAAGCATAACCAGGAAAAAGATCACAAACCACGCCAGAGCAATGGCGAACAGTGGAATGGCTGTATATCCGACGGACTACCACAAAGAAATCAGCGCAGCAAATATCATATAATGCCAACAAATGTAAGCAGACGATAGAGTTGCAGTTTTGGAAATAAATAACTTACGGCAAAATAGTGCACTTCACTGATATTCCAGCCGCCCGGGTATTTCCTGAAGCCATTCAAGGGATCCTTTCGATATGTCCTATCTGCCGCCAATACAAAGGAGCTATTCGTAGTGACGTTGATGTCAGTAGGAGCTTCAGCAATTGACCTCCTTGCCAGCAAGCCAAACCCATCTGCTTTTGACAGTTATAATTCATTGTCATACAAGAACGATTGCCAGCAACAAAAACATAAATCTCCCAACTGGGATAATAGGCATTTTCTACTGGTGGTTTAATACATCTATGTGTTTTTCCTTTAGTGTTTCACTGGTTTAATTATAACATTCTCTGCAGAATAAGTGAAGCAGTAGTCAAGAGAGGATAGAACTTGAATAGAGCCATCTCATAATGTTCCCTTTAAATTAAAATTCTTACAAGTAAAGGCTAGGTGTCTGTGGGTACGTAAGAATTCAGTTATAGTAAATTAAAACAAGAAACGAAAATCACTTACAAACCATTACAACACTCAGGACTGAAAACAGCAAAGCAGTACAAAACGGAAGGAACTGCAGACACAGTAAAAGGGTAAATGGAAGGCACCACAGGGCAGTGACACAAGACTGAATTTGCTTTGCTTTTGTTTTACTTAAAAAACACTGAATTTGGGAACACTATAAGTTGAAACCAAAGTAATTTTTTTTAGAAGGGCGGCAAGAGCTTTGCCGTGATTTTATTAGCCGAGGGAAAAGAAAAACAAAAGTTTTACAAGAAGGTCTACTGAGCGACCAAAAACACCAAGAAACCAAAGTAATCAAAGATGTAGAAAAGCGATTCGCTACAGAAAAGAAAAAACAGAACTGATGCAGGGGCATGCGAATGGGAAAAGGCGAAGGGAATTTAGACAACCAGGAAGCTAGTTGTATTCCTTTCCAACGGGGAAAAAGAGAGAGAATCGCAATATAAGGAGGGAATGAAAGAACTCGAATTTTCCTTTTCCTTTCAAAAGAAAGGGGCATAGATTTGATAGAGAGAGAACACTGCACATAACCCAGAACCAAGATTTGGCAGGGTCGAAGTCGAACATAGGATTCTTTCGGAGAATAAACCCTGTAAGGAGCAGAAGAAAAGGACACCAAACAGATGAACAATAACCTGAGGACCACAGAACAATAGAAAATTCTGGGGACCGTTCCTCATGACGAGGAAGAATTCGACTTCACTCCGTACTAAACAAAAAGCTCTATCTTGTTTAAACGAACTGGAAAAACAAAACAAGAGGCAAAATCGCACTGAATCAAAAGAACAAGCAAGCTATTTTCTTCTTGTCTGCAACGTATATACCAGCGAAAAGAGTAAAAAAACAGGTATAGGAAACACGAGAAGGGGGGCCGCACGAACCAGAGTGGAGCGCGGGGCTCTGGAAGTAGCGAGGAGCAGGGAAGTCCCCCGGTCCGGGATGCGCGGCGCAGAATGGCAGCGCGACGAGCAGCAGCAGCGCCAGGCGGACGAGTGGAACCGGCAATGCCATGGCTGGGCGGCTCACCGGCGCGGCGGCGGCACCCTCTCGTCTCTCCCGCCGCGGCGTGAACCCAACAAGATCGCACCTTTTGTCCCCGTCCCCGCCGACGCCCCGAGAACAAGATGAGAACGAAGGAAAAGCTTCAGCGTGGTAGAAGAATGGGGTAGGAGAACGAAAGAGATAGGTGCCGTGGTCGGGGTCGGGGTCGGGGTCGTTCCACAAAGATGAAGACGGATGCTTTTCTGCTTTGGTTCCTCCCTCCCTGCGCCTCGTGTCGTGTCCTCTCTCTCTCTCTCTCTCTCTCTCTCTGTGACCCGCGGCTGTTCGTATCCCAGACGCCCCTCTGGCTCTTGGCAAATGCACTGGGGTTAGCGGGACTTTCGCCTACCTGTCCCTTGTCTCGTGGGGATTAGATTCAGAGGTGTCCAAATCCAAACCAAAGAGTGGGATTTGGCGTGGGTGGCAGCACAGGGCCGCAGCAGATCCGTCGGGGCATTGCATTCTCAGTTGCGTAGTGGCACTGGGTCATGTGTGTGTGTGAGCGCGAGTGTTGTTCCCAAACTGCCCAGGGAGCGCGGTTAACTGGCGGCTGAGAATTACCGACTTGCCCTTGGACAAAACCAACAGATGCACTCGTAGGCAGTGGAGTAACTGCTCCGGACATTTTTCACATGCGGCAACGGCAAAAACGGGGAAGGGGCCCAATGATTCCCGAATTGCGCAGTGAGCAGGTTTGTTTATTGCAAAAGGTATTGTGATAATTTGATGTGATGCGTCCCATTAACCCCTGGCTTTACTCCTTAAAGACGCACTGATTGATAATCAAAAGGCCAAAAAGAATAATTAGGACACGGATTCGATCTTGCTACTTGCACTCAGTCGATGTCGGCAGCCGGCGGCGGGGCCTCGCTGGTCCGGACACCGCCGCACCGGAGTCGGAGGCTCCGATCTCCGAGCCGCGCCGCGCGTCTCCATCGGCGGCCTCCTCGCGGTCGCGGGGTGGCGGCCACCATCAACGACTAGCGCTGGTTTCCACGAGGCTAATCTCATCTGGTTTCCGTTGCTGTCGCGTACAACGTACCATGTGGGGCCGGTATGGAGCAACGGATTTCAATTTCTTGCGAGTACTGAAGTACGCAGTGGCCACCTCTGTTGAGTTTGTTTATTGTTTATCATTCCTACGTACACCTTTGGGTACATCGTATTCGTAGTACATGGGTGACGAGACGGCAGCAGGGGCAGGGCGGGCAGGACCGCGAGAGTTCGAGACGAACGGGGTCGGGACCGCCCGGCCGGGGGCGTGCCTACTGGTTCCGGCTGCTGCTGGCGCATCCGTGCATGAAAAAGAAGACGCGCCGACGCCGTGGTCAGCGAGCAGGCAAGGAGTAGCGCAGACTTGGGCGTACGTCCTCGTAGTCACGCACGTCAGGACGTCACGTACTCCTGCTACAGGTGTACAGGCAGGTGCAGGTTGTGAACGACCAACAGCCCGGATCATCCACGTACTCCAGGTGGCAGGTGCAGGCACGTCCGCGGGCCGCCCGAACATTCCGACACAGCTAGCTGTACGCGTAGCCCTTGGGGTTTTCAAATGGAAAGCATGCGGTCTGTTGGCCACGTGGTGCCTACCAGGTTTCCTTTTTCAGGTATTGTCATTATTATTATATTATGCTTGGGTTGGGTTGGGTTGGGTTGGGTTGTTGACACATGCCTCCGTTCCATGGAATGGAGCAGACTACTACAGTAGACACTCGTAGAATATAATATAATGGTGTCGACGAAGACGCGAGGGGTAAGACTGTCTCCAACGGCGTGCCTAAACGCAAAAATGCGTGGTGCATAGTGTTTTTGGGTACCAAACACGCCTCCAACGGAAGATCGAATCCGGATACCCATTCTGGGTACTCGGTGATTCGGTTGGCAAATCTGCGTCGCCGAAGAGAGACAACGCAAACAAAGCCGCGCGCTGCCACCTCCCCACCTTCCTCTCCCCTCCGCTTCCCCTTCCCCTTCCCCCACCTCAATCGGAGCAAGAAGACAGCGGCCGGCTCCTCCCACTCCCAGGCAGCAATGGACGCCGCCGAGGCGAGGAGCAGCAGCAGCGCGTCTTCCTCCGCGGAGTTCGAGTTCTGGCCACTCCACCCCAACCCCGCCACCTCGCCCTCGTGCGCCAACGAGCTCTTCACCGGCGGGGTGCTCCTCCCGCCCCGTTCTCCCACCGGCCGGGCGTCGGGGAAAAGCAATAGCGGCATCGGCCAAGGTGTGCTCGTCGTCGAAATCGGAGCTGCAGCCTGCCCGAGCTAGGGGCGTCGTCCTTCTTGCGACCAAATCGCACGGCTGCTTCGACTTCGGCGAGGTGGATCCATGGCGAGCGCGGCCGGCGCGAAGGCGGCGAGGCTCGCGAGCGCCGGAGCGGCAGCAGCGTGGCGGCGGATTTGGGAGAGGAGTAGAGGGAGGCGGGCGCCATGGGAGGAGTTGACGAAGAGAGAAGCGCCACGGGCCACTGCACTGCACGGCGGCATGCCGCCAGCCGGCGCCGCCCCTGGCCCACCAGCCTCCTCTGCGCCCGATTTTTTTTTTATGGGGATTTGGGGCTCATCCGTTGGAGGGGTCAAGAATGGGGTGCGTAGCTTTCTGTACTGTGCGTTACCTAAACGATGAAATGGGTATTCTAGGTTACGTTGTTGGAGTCGGTGTAAGGGCATCCTCAATGGGCTGTAGCAAATCGTCAGCGGCATGCATACTAGATAGAATAAAAAAAGAAAAGCACAGACGTGCAAAACATACGAATGGGAGAAAGGAAGACACCGATTTTACGGGGAAGCTTGCGAGTACGGCGATTTACTCGGCGCTAGCGAGTTCACTTTTATCCATTCCTCTCCTAAATACAGTACTTCCCTCCGTTTTTATTTATTTGTCACCGAATTTTTTCTGACTAATTTTAACTATCGCTTTTTTTTTTCAAAAGATTTTAGATACATCAAGTTTTCACATATATGATTCTTCATTTTACATACTTGATTAATGTTATATACTTTGATGTATCTAAGATTTTCTAGAAGAAAAAAATGATTGGTCAAATCTGCTACAGTAAAAAGGTTGGTGATAAGTAAACGAAAACGGAGGTAAGTATAAAAAATTTATCTCGTTAGCTATTTGAGATGTGGTTGGGACGCCCTCAGATCTGGCGGCAGGCAGTAAGACAAGCTTGAGCTGCACCTGCAGAGGAACAACGCCATGTGGTTTGTCTGCTGCACCTGGACCTGGTAGTATAGTAGGAGTAATATTTGCCTCTCTGGCGTGGCCCGTGCAGCGCCGTCCGTATCCTGGATCTGCTACGTAAGCGTAGCACATCGTGTCGGACAGAGACGCCGCGGCGGATCCAGGTAAATAGCGTTTTTTTTTTCTGGAGTGAGGGAGCAGCTAACCTAAAACCCGTGGTCCGTGGTTGCACGCTGCCGCAGGTGCACCGCGTGCGTGACTACATACCGAACCAACGAAATGCATCGACGTCGTTGGCAGCGACGTGGGAGACGTCGACGATAGGGCCCCGCCCGCCCCGGAAGGGGGAAGAGCGACCCGCGGCGTCCGCCAGAACAAATCTGCAGTGGATGCAGAAAGCGTCGTCTCGACTCGACGCTGCCGACGACGTCGACCAGCGAGCCGACGTCGGGGACGGGGACAGGGGAACTGCGCGAGCCTCCGTCGGCCTCGCCCGCGCGGGCGGCGGGCCTCTGCGACGGGGCGGTCGTCACGGTCGCCTGCGCCACGGCACGCCCGGGGGCCGTGACAGGCCGACAGGCTTTGCCAAGGAAATTTATGGGCCGCACAGGAGAGGACTGGCTACAAGCAGGCCAACTACAAGGGCTAGCTATTCACATCGCTAACCATCAATCACGTGCACATTGCTATTCAGAGATTGAACACCCACCTTCGGAGAAGGAAAATCTTTTATCTGGGGAATTTGGTATTTGCTGCCCTTATAAGCATATTATAATGGTGATTTTCCTTTAATTTTCTTACTTTGTGATTTTACCCCTCATAGATGGACGTCGGTTGTTGATAGAGTAAACGAATGAAAAATTAATGGACGTGTAGTTTGCCTTCCAACTTTAAACTCATAACATATGCGCACAATAACCATCAATAAAAAGTGAGTTAATCATTTGTCAATTTTCTATACATGATTAATCCTTCGTTGTGTTAACATCGATCTAACAAAAATAGCTAGTATATGATCGTTAGTGCAAGCACCGCATAACAAATTGCACACCCCGTTTAAACGCGTGGCCGTTTTATGTTGGTGATGTGACTAAGAAGCAACCATACCCCTTATGGATGGACCCATATATATCATAATAGTTATCTATTATTATAGTACTAATGGGCATTTAATGAAGGGAAAATGGGCTTTTATTGAAGGCCAGCTTTAACGGGTTTAAAGCCATCATTACTTCATTAGAGGTGGAACATATAAGTACCATACCGCTAGTTGATTTAGGACATATAAGAAAAGAAACCATACCGCTAATATGATTTAGAGATAGAGAGCTCGTCGGTATATAATAATTATTTTTCTTTCTCTCTCCCAACATCCCATGAAAATAGAATTTGGTCCTTTTCATGGGCCTAAGCCTAGAGTAGCCTGATTTCTTCAAGCCACGTTTGCTCTCTTTCTTCATTAATTACGCTAGCACGAGATAAAACCATCATGCGCACCATTGAGACTGCACTTAGAGATAGTCCATATATAAATGTACCTAACATCCCATGAAAATAGAATTTGGTCCTTTCAAGGGCCTAAGCCTAAGCCTAAGCCACGTGCCAGGTGCTAGCACGAGACGGTGCTTGCGTTGATCACGACGAACGTGAGGCGGGTGGGCGTGTATTGCTGCTGCCGGTGTGCGGGGATATACACCTACTTTCACTACATGCATCAACGCGCACGATGTTGGACCGGACTACTCTAATTTCTTCTGCTATGCGCGTTAAATGGTGACGATCTATAA